GGTGATCCCTGTACGAGAGTGCATGGAGAACTATTGAAAAGAAACATAGAGTGGCATTTCAATCCACCACAAGCCAGCCACAGAGGGGGGCTTTGGGAGAGACTTGTCGGAATTATTAAACGTGTTCTAAGTTCTATCGTTAAAAACCAAAACTTGACTGATGAAACCCTAGAGACGTTTTTATGTGAAGCCGAAAGAATTCTAAACGACCGACCGCTTTCGCCGGTAAGAGATGATGTGAAGGACTTTGATGTTTTAACTCCAAATAAACTACTATTATTGCAAAGTAATCCAGGTTTAGAAGAAGGGTGCACAGAACCGAGACCCATGGTCAGAAGATGGAGACAAGCTAAGCATCTGAGAGATGTGTTTTGGAAGAGATGGTTTAAAGAGTGTATACTCACACTCCAATCAAGAGATAAATGGAAGAAGACATATCGAAATTTGCAAGTTGGTGATGTGGTTTTAGTTTCGGATAAGACTTCTACAGGTAAATGGCCTCTAGGAGTAATAGAAGGGGTAACATGTAGTAATGATGGGTTGGTGAGGACAGTGGAAGTGAGGACAAAATACGGCACGCTGACGCGAGATATTCGAAAATTATGCTTGCTTGAAGTGCTAGAGAACAGATCAGAGGCTGGACAATCCGACGATTTTCCAACTTAAGGGCGTACACCTGAGAAGGATGGTAGGCGTACTGCTGTAAGTCCTACAATTCTTCAAGGGTAGTATGTCGAAGAGCAGTCCATCGTACTTGGTGTATTATTCTGTATATATGTTCATGTTGTATATAATCAATTGGTATCATCCCTCTTCTATGTGTTGATTAACTTTGTTTTTGTCCGGACGTCTTCCACCTGGATCGTCAACCTGAGAAGAAATGTAGGCGTACTGCTGTAAGTCCTACAGTTCTTCAAGGGTAGCTCGTCAAGGCAGAATCCGCAATATTTGATGTATTCATTGTACATATGTTTGTGTTGAGTAATTAAGTGGGTGCCGATTCATTTGATTGTTGGTTAATTTTATAGTTGTCGCATTGTGTGAATCATCTTGTAATGTTTTTGTGAGTACTTCTGAATTCGCTTCTAAACTTGTGAACGAATCGAGTAGTGTTAGAGTCAGCGTACGCGATTGGATACGCCGGGGAGAGGATTGGACTAGAGTGGAATGAAGCAATCGATACTTTGTGAACGAGATCAGTGGTGGTATTGTCGTCAGAGAGCGTAGACCCTATGCGCCGGGGAGAGCGTGTCGGTGTGATGTGGTATGTTTGCTGTGTGTTGGGCTTTTTTGTCTTGCTTTTCCAATTTTAGCCTAGTCCCGATTGGCCCAGGTTCCCGCATTGGCAGTTCAATTCAAGGTTACCGCCGCTGTGGAAAAAAGGGATGGACCCTTTTTTGCCGGGGAGTGTCAATGGACGTGAACATTGAACGTTTGTTTTACTGGGTCTGGCAGCCATTGGCAGGCCATTGAAGGCGCGAATGGAACGATCTCTTGCAAGTTGAAAGAAGACTGGAATTAAATACGAATAAAAGTACTTTATAACTTCATTTGTACATAACATTTGTTTGCAGACTTTGTAGTTTTCTTCAATTTAATTGCCAAACAATATAATTTCGTTCGAGGAATACTGGTGTTTTGGATTTAAAGTTGAAGAAAGCGCATAGTATTTATCGGCTCAATCGCTTAAGTCTTCATTACGATAGGAACTTAGGGCTAAGTTCCTTGACAGTACTCTTTTCGATAAATTCATCATCAGGTTCTACAATTATATACACATTATAATGAATGAATGAATTAGTCTTATGAACGACATTAATGTTGTTTAAATAACATCGAACCAATAATATTGATAAATTACAGCTGAACAGCATCAACATAAAATAAACTGAATGTCAGAAGAATTAGGAAAGGTAATAGTGCAAATTAATGAATTTATAGTATCTACTGAGGGCCAGGGTAGTAGTAGGGGCTGGACTTGTTTCTTTTGGACACATAGCACTGGTTGTTTGAGGCGAATTGCAATAGCCTCTGCTGTTTGGAGCATGCGGTGCTTCGACGATTTTGGAAGTTTGTTAGGCACCCGGTATATTATAGAAAAGGATTCCTAGAGCGTCGGCCAATATAATGATGATGAATTTATCGAAAAGAGTACTCTTTGTTCCGTGTCTATTCTTTTGAAAAATTTTTCAAAAGTTTGAATTGTTGAATAATAGTACAAGCAATCAGAACTGGCTGTTGTAAATGCAAAATCGTAAACCCTTCACTCAGGTCACCACCAAAGTTGAGCGACAACCCAAACTTCGTTCCGTTTCCTGCTGATAGTTATGCTCAACCAGTGAACAGGCTATATTTAAGTAAGTGCTATGCCCCCACGTTATTGGAAGCTATTTTGGTAAATACGATTTTAGAGTGAACACTTGTCTATGACATAAATATTAGAAGTAGGAAAAAAGTCAAAATAAATAGACAAGTTACTTGTAAAGTTTACTTTCAATCGAATAGGTTACAACTGTACAACTGGTGTGCCCTACATTGATAGGAAAAATATATATCATTATTAAAGATGCACTTAAAGTTTGTAAATTTCACTGAGGAATTACAAAATTTTGGGCTATTGAGGTTCAAAAATTCACAAAATTCTTCAGTAGACGGTAAGCGCAGTATTATTTTCATAATAGCAGATCTATGCGACCAACTTTGCGATGATAAACAGATTACACGATGGAGGTTGTTGTGTAACTCATCATATTTGCTAACAGTCCTCTGCCAAATGTAGGTTCTGGTGGTTTGAAAACTCCGTTCTAGTCATACAAACGTAGAAGGGGCATTACTTTGCATATGCAGTGCTCCGATGTAGTGCCTTTGAAAAGAGAAGACAGAAGAAAACAGCACGAGATGTGCAGAGGTGGCCAACAAATATTAATAGTTTGAAACAGTCAATATACGGCCAGCGCCGGGTTCACTCCGTTTTTAATACCAAGAAGTTATAGTCACTGAATTTTTTAGTGTTAACCACCAACGGTTAATCCAAGTGTTTAGTAGTTAAAAAGAGAGAGAAAAGGGTGAATGTTCTCAACTGTATAGTGAAATGGTAGGAATAGATACTGAAAAAGAAGTTAAAACTGAACGTCAAAGTACATAAAATAAGCAGAAGAAAGACTTTTAATCTGATTTATGCAGTTAGATGTCCTTCTGAAGTAGCGAATATGGGAATGCTTGAAGATGCGGGCACATTATGTATTGGAGTCCTGGCCCCAACACTGATTCCAGCTGCCATTACTGAGATTATTTAGCACTACGAATCGTACTATTGTCGAAGGGAGATTTGCACTTTACGTCACCTAATTCCAGAGTCAAGGCAGGACTTTGTTACGCTTTACTCATGGAGCTAGCCAAAAGTGTAAGCAGACGAGAAACAAGTCAAGTCTTTGGAATGAGATCCAAAACTGAGTTATGAAGTGAAAACCACAACACCTCGGCTTCACTGAGTTTATCTCGTGGGTGCATAATCTGTTGCCTTTCCGACTCCTCCTGCTTTGAATTTGGCGGGACATATCTCTTCTTCTCCGAGGATTGCTCCCACGCATTGGGTCTACCTATTCCCATTCTAATGTCTGGACAGCAAGGCAGCTTGACTCCTTACCATAACAGTTACGAAGGCGACACACCACCTCTGTCCAGCATTTTAAGTAACATCTTTTCGCCAAACATATAGCATTGTGTGGAGCTCTTAGGGAGAGTCTTAAATCCCATTTCGACGGAGAACCTAGGTACAAGGGCGAGCTGTGTAGCTGACTTACATTCGTAGATAGCTGACTGCATTTTCATTGAAGCACGTGAATCTATCACTCCCTGTCTTTTTAAGGAACAACAGACATCCGGAAAAGAAGCAATAACGAATAATAAAGGGGTCACGAGCTATAGGCTTCCAAAACTAGGTCTCCTTATATTTCGCCATCACTGACTTAGGAGCAATAAAATCACCACTTAAACGATTACCGTCAGCCACAGCCACCAAAAAACCTATTATATAATCAAGTCAATTCACACAGCTTCCTATAAACCAACGAGCAATCCTTCATCAGGGTGCCCACATCGAGTAAATCAGCACTTTTCACACTTTGATTCTTGAGACCCTAGAAACCTTTACTGAAAACAGTGATCAAATTATCAACAGTGGACACATTCCAAACACTGGTGCCAGACAATACGTCTAGGAAGTTATCTACAAGCTCGCTTGATTCGCCTAGATCTAATGATTTGAAGGAGATAGTCAAAATGTTTTGGATGTTTCGTGACAGCAGTTGAATCACATCTGTCGTGAAACCAATTCGTCAACCTTGTGTGGGTTAATCAGTTGACGCATATGTCTGAGGAGCTGAAACAGTATTCTTCAATCTAAAATGATTTGCTCCCATTAGTTGCTGAATACTTCTGTCTTCTCAGACACTAGTTCTCTGGATCGAATCTGCTTTTAGTAGGTATCATTGCTGGTCTACAGAAGCACCGTCGAATAGGGCTGTGAAATCCCTTAGTAATTCTGTAGGCAGTGCGGTTAAAAGCATCAGTGCCTAGCAATCTGTAATTTGATTCTGACTGAGGCGAAAAGGGGCCGGACGATTGCGAACTAAATTCTAGGCTCAACAGAACCAAATGATGGTAAACATAGACAGACTGTTGCTTTTATTCCTGAATCTTGTGTCCCCGCTCTAGTTTCAGATACCGTAAGTGGCCAGATAAATGAAGACGTGAATAGTACGTGGATATATAGATAGACAGATATATTAAATATACATTCTAAAACAAAATCACAACAACATAAGTATGTAGCTAGTAAAACTATGAATTACTAAATGGGCACAAAATATCAGAATAAATATTCTAGTCAGAGAAGGAATATCGAGACAGCATAATGAAAAAGTTCAGTTAAGAAAAAGCCAAAGAATGATATTGTTCGGAACTCCAGAAATGAATGATAATTTTTTGTTTCGTAGCATTGAACATTGGACGGTGTTATGTATTTAAGTGTGTCATTTCATTAGTTTATCGTAAGCAACCGCCTGATAAACGTGTCATCTTTACCCGTAGACATTAGAAATGAGGACGTTGATACCCATTTTGGCGTGTTTTCTTATCTTCACCAGCGCAGAGGTTACTGAAGAAGATGGTGTTTTGGTGTTAAATAAAAATAATTTTGACGAGGTCATCAAAGGAAACCAATTCATTCTCGTTGAGTTCTGTAAGTTGTAAATATTCAACTAATTTACATATTTAGATGCTCCTTGGTGTGGTCATTGTAAGGCTCTCGCGCCTGAGTACAAAGAGGCGGCTAGAAAGCTAAAGGATATGGGCTCTCCTATAAAACTAGCCAAAGTGGATGCTACAGTTGAAGGGGAGTTGGCATCAAGATACGAAGTCAAGGGATATCCAACCCTAAAATTCTTCCGAAATCAACAAGAACCCATTGACTTTTCGGCTGAAAGAGATTCAGAATCGATTGTAAACTGGTGTATGAAGAAGACGAAACCGTCTGTTGATTACATTGAGTCAGTTGATGCATGTAAACAATTCATCAATGATGCAAACATTGCTGTCCTTGGATTCATCAAAGTAAGTAAATTTTATTCATTTAATTTCCCAGGATACGGAAACATCTGAATTGGCAGCCTTCCAGAAAGTAGCTGACGAGTTAGATGATGCCAGTTTTGCTGTCGCCAATTCAAGTGAAATAATGGCCGAATATGGTATTACATCTACACCAAAAGTAGTCGTGTTCAAAAAGGTATGTAAAGTTACGTCATATATCATTGCTTACAGTTCGATGACGACCGTGTTGACTTTACCGGTGACAGTTTTGATAATCTGAGTCACTTTGTGCGAGTTGAGATGGTTCCACTTGTAACAGAGTTCTCCCAGAAAACAGCAAGCATTGTGTTTGGCAGTCCAGTCCAAAAACATATTGTCGTAATTCTTTCCAAAGCAAGTGACTACGCGAGATACATTGATGACCTAACTAAAGTTTCACGTCAATTCAAAGGCAAGGTGAGTGCTAACAATATAAAATTTTCACTGGCTATAGTCTTAAGCATTAAATCTTATAAGTCTGTCAGCGATTTGAAGATTTTGTAGACATTTGTCTGTAATATCATTCTATAGTAAGACTTTGAGGTGACTATAGTGTGAGCATATTCGTTAAAACAGAAATGTCGAGTTCATACGCAAATTTGATGTTTTGTAATATCTCTCCAATTAAAAATAAGTAATTAGTAACATGCCATATACGCATCATTGTCTGCGTATATGTACCACCGTAACAGTTCTCAAAAGTAATTTTGGATGTAAAGTTCAGCTAAATTCACGTGTATTTACATGTTATATGACTCATCTTAACAGTTAACATTGTCATTTCATTTTCAGGCCCATATGATGATCGTAGATATTGACGTTGAAGATAATCTACGTGTACTGGAATTTTTCGGTCTCACAAAATCTGAAGCTCCAACTTACCGAATCGTTGAACTTCGCGATGAAGTAACGAAATACAAACCTGAATCCAACGAATTTTCTGCTTCCTCTATGGCTGAGTTTACACAAAAGTTCTTAGATGGAAAAGTTAAGCCATTCCTTATGAGTGAAGAAATCCCGACTGAACAGACAGGTGCTGTTAGAGTGCTTGTTGGAAAGAACTACAACGATGTTGTCACCGATAAATCAAAGGCCGTCTTCGTCAAACTTTGTAAGTGATGTGGTTCATTTATTCGATGTGTTTTTTTTAAAATACGAGCGAAATCATTCGCCGCTGCAATGTTTTGAAAGGTTGATAAATGCGTGGTGATATTCCGCACAATGTTGGTTCTCAAAACTGACCTGCTTACGGTTGCTTTATAGCCACTGTTTTTACATTCCTGACTGTATATTAGCAGTGTTTCATGTCAGCTAAAGTTCTTCTACCTCTATAAAGGCTATGAAATATCGGTATCCTGAGGAAAGTGGATTGTTGCATGCAATAAATAGGTGTTGAATACAATGCTGAATTCTTTTTTTTGCCACAATGTTTAAACTAATCAAGCTATGCACATTAGTACAAAATATATATGAATTATTTTCTTTTGACATATCTCTTAGATGCACCTTGGTGTGGTCACTGCAAAGCTCTTGCTCCAACATGGGAAGAGTTAGCTGAAGCTTTCAAAAACTCTGATGACATAATAATCGCAAAAATGGACTCCACTGTTAACGAAGTAGAAGATCTTAAAGTAACCAGTTTCCCAACATTGAAGTATTATCCAAAGAACTCAGATGAGGTACGTGTTGACATACATTTTTGATTTTGCTTAACTTCTAGTGATATATGCATGGAATTATTCGCCTAGAAATCTGTTTTGTAGTAATCCACAAGTTGACTTAGTTGTCAGTGTTTCATCGTATTTTGCTATGGATTGAAAAATAAGTTAACATATCTCTCTCTCTTCATAAAGCTTAACAAGAAAAAAGTAGCCAATTAGGCTAAAAGTGTGTTAAAGTTTTTATACACCCCTAAGTTTCTTGTGTTATTATTGAATCCTTATGTTCATCTTTGTGCTATCGCATTCATTACATGCTCGGAAGTATTCCAAAACAAGTAATATTGTAGGAGGTCTTCTTCTTATGATTTTAACAGCTTTTAATGGATAGATCAAAACGTCTCTTGGATTCCGTTTGAGAACTCTTAGGGCTTTCATAACACCACTTAAGACAGCGGTATATTGATACTGTTTGCTCTAGCGTGTACTGTCATGGCTTTTTATGAATGTATAAGGATGCTTTAATTGTCTGTGTTAGTAAAGATTGTTTCCATTTCTCTTCATTTCTTAACTTCAGGTTATTGACTACACTGGTGATCGATCCTTTGAAGCTTTGAAAAAATTCGTTGAATCGGGTGGAAAATCAGAAAAACCAGAAGAAGAACCTAAGGATGAACTATGAGTAGTAAAGGAGAAAAACAAAAAGTTAATTTTCAACAGAATGCTCTGTTTTATCTTCACTCATTCTACTCATTTTCCCCGTGCTTTGAGAAACTGCTTAACCCCTCTAAAAACTTTTCAAGCAGTGATCAACACGCATCTCTCGTGTGTTTTTTCTCCTTTGTTTTTTTGTTGTTTTTTTAAACAAAAATTTATTTGTTTAACTACCATCTAGCTCTTTGTAGACATATGTACTGTGTACTCCTTTCTATTTTGCCTTTGTTTTTTCTTTTTTGTATTATTTAAAGCGCTCACTGCCAGTGCATTTCTGTGAATGTTTGTCAAATGTATGTGACCTTTTAGATACCAATGTTTGTACACCTTCATAATTGTTTTGCTTGTTTGTTTGTTTTTTTCTAATATAATTTTTAGACCATGTTTGCTAAATACAAAACAAAACCATTTGTTGTAATTTTTTGGTCTTTGTCTCGTCTCTGTATTTTTCTGGTGTGCGTGTGGAGGGGGGGTAAATAATTTTCCTGTTTAGTGAGGAGTTGAAGTCTGTTAGCTGTTGTTATGGAAAGTGGTGGGTGATCTTAGCAGGTTTCAAAATCTTGTAATATTGTTGAGAATAGTTGGTTGGAAATTACATCGACTGAGATGGTTAGGACATGTGTTATGTATGCCTAGTCATCGCCTTCGTCGACGGGCAATGTTAGCTGGTATAGGATCAGGCTGTAAAAGAGCTAGCGGCGGTCAAATGAAAACATGGCCCCAGTCAATGAAATCTACAACAGTTAGCCTAGGCCACGTAGGAAGGTGTAGACTTCCTGACTGGTTGGGGTCCTCGGGACGGTAAAAACCAATGGTTGGAAACAATTGGTGACATGACTCAAAATCGTTCTCAATGGCTGGTGCAGATGCATCCACTCCTTGTGACTCATGATTTCCAATGAAACTGTTTTGTTATTCGTTATTACTATTCCTTTGTCTCATACCTCTGTTTACTGTCTACATTATGCATTTCTCCTACTCTCTTCTCTTGCTTTGTGTGCTACATGGAGTGTGGCGACTTCAACTGCCGCACATCGGTGCAAAGTTCTATGTCGAAAACAGACAGGTTGAATTCAAAGCTTTTGTGAAGTGGATGTTTGGAGTTAATATGACTTACAGAGACGATAGTTCAGTATTGATTGACAGTGATAGAAGAGTCAATTTACATTAATGTTTATCATAGAAAACAAATAAGTTCACCTCGATGTACATTTGGTGATAGTTCGTAAAAGTTGAGTACTACACAGGTATCTGTTAATTGTTCAGTTAACTTTTCCTATCAAAGTGACGTTCTGGCACTGGAGATTTAGTTTATGGACACAAAGAATATAATAGTGCTTATTTCTTTCCTAATGAATGAGCAGTCGTCTTCGAATCAAAGGCCTCCGTCATTCTGCCATCTTAAAATTAGTGTTTGTTAATTTCTCACCAATGAGATGTTGTTAACCTTTTTAGTATGATTCATATTGGCATATAGGTTTATTCAATAATAGATAAGTGTACCTGATGTATTGTATACGTGGTATGATTATGAGCATTAAATTGTGCTTGAAATGTCATCCACTTTCTAGCTGGAAACAACTTCGGGTGGACTACAAGCATTGGTCACTGTCGGATTTTGGTTAAGGAGAGAAGCTGGGGCTCAGGTACCAATTTTTGAGTGCTGGTTCCAAGAGCTTATGACTCAGTAAAAGAACCAATTTTTGTTTTACTTTCCGAGTGGAACATAGGGCTTCAAAAACACATCTCCACTTTGTTCTGTTTTCTGCCGTTGTCTTCATAGCTGGGTACACAATTGACCAAATTCTTTCATCTCTTCCTCACACGATCTCCTCCATGTCACCCTCGCACCGACGTCCCACTTGTCGCTCCCTATTTGCATTCCACTCGAGGCATTGCCTGGTGTACGATGTCATTCGGTGGCCTCCTCAATGTATATCCGATTCATCTCCACTTTCTCCTACATATTTGTTCAGCGATCGGCTTTCGCCTGTTGGTTTGTTCCCATAGTCTCTTGTTGCTAATTCTTTCTGGCATGCAACTGATCATCATAATGGAGCCAGCGAACGGGGTAGCTGTTGATGAAAGTCTGCCACCTGTTGGAAATCCTTTTCGTGACACTCTAGCCATGTTTCTGATCCGTATAGAAGAACTGACTGACTGACCTCACATTTGTGTTGAAAATCCGAATCTTGTTGTTTATGCTGGCTGAGTGCAGAAGATTTCCAAACTGGTTTCAGGTTGATGAAGGTGTATCTTGCCTTTCGAACTCGGACTTTGACATCTTCGTCCGCTTCGCCTGTAGTTGAAACGATGCTTCCTGGCTGGACAAGTGAAGGGGGCAACGTCTGTTAAAGCTATCCCGTTGATGGTGATTGGTGCTGGTTTTTGTTGATGTTGCGGTTCGTCAGTTATCTTCATCATCTCCTTCTTCTCTATGTTCACCTGCAGTCCTGTCTTCGCAGCCAGTTTGCTGCTTTTCGCCTACCTGTCTATAAGTCTTCGAGTTTGTGTGACATTAAACATAAATCATCCACATGCGAAATCCAGATCTTCTAGAGCCTTCTTATCAGTGTTTTCCTGACTTCTCACTCCCAACGCACAGTCTGACGCATAATCCAGTCCACCACAATTAAGAATATCATCGGTGATAATAGGTCGCCTTGTCTTACTCCTGTATTCACTTTAAAGGCATCACTGAGTTTTCTGTTGAGGATCACCTGACATGTGTCAGTTAGATAATTCCATTCAACAAAATAATTTACAAGAGTTTGTTTTTATGAATTTTATTTGCTTCAGTTTTGGTCGCAGATTGATATCAGTTAGAGAATCACTGAAAACAAGAGAGTACCAGACAGCTGTTTCTTTCTAGTTTGCGACTCAACAGCGGTACGCACCCATTGTGTTTCAAGCCCAGTCTTGTAGTTGCGCTAAAATCATGAATTGGTAGGAGTTAGAAATTTTAGGCAGCTGGGTCGGGTCCCAGTGGCTGAATGGTTTACGGCCTTGTCTTATAGCTGGAAGGTACTGGATTCGAACCCCCGTGGTGGTTGCCTGCTGCTGATGAATCGCAAACTAGGAGGTAACAGATGTCTAGCACTCCAATACGGGATTTCAGTGGTTCTCCAACTGACATCGTTCCATGATCAAAGTTGAAAAAAAATAATTTAGTTTATCTAATATCAGGCCATAGGCCATAGTAGTAGGATGGAGTTAGTTAGATCAGCGGAGCACAAAAGCCTATTGAAATACAGACTGAATGACCCTAATAAAGGAAGAAATCTAGAGAATAGGTCAGCTAAAGCACTATATGCAGTCACACACGATCATATAATAAGATGGGAAAAGATGACAATTCCAAAACCTAATAGAATCAAGTGGTGTGGCGGTGGAGATTGGTACATGAATCTCTGTTTACTTTTGTTCTTTCTGTCAGCAATACTTGTTATCAAGCATCCTAGATAGCTATTTCAAAAGTATATACAAATGGCTTTCACAGACTGATACCCACCAGACAACTACTGAAAACTAGGGCTCACTCGACAGATGTTTTGTCCTAGTTTGGGACTCCTCACCAGTGCGCATCTGTAAAGACACTGGAGATTGAATCTAGGACCGTCAGATCACAAAGCGAGCTCATTAACCATTCAGCCACTAGGAGGGGATGTTCGTGAATTCTAGCTTCTGCTGATTCTTCATTTTTAGAGCCACAGCCAGCTGATTTCATCTGTTAGTATTTACTCTCGCATCCAACCTAGCAGTCACGATTGAAGAGTCACTAACTGGAACGAAACAGTTGTCTTTGGCTTTCAATGGTTTTCTATCCTGTATCAATCTATGATCATACTTGAAACAAATGACTTTATTGTTTAGTCAGTTGGTTTAGAAATTATTCTTAGGATCTGGCGAGTAGGACTAGACTAGTCGTGGTGAACCATCAATATACCTCACTGTGAATTTCTGCAAAGAATATGTAACAACCTCGTAAAGTAGCATGACTGCCTGTGATTAGCACTGCGCTCCTCTACTTTGGAAGCATAAATATGGCTTGATGCTGATTGACAGGAGACGGTCACAACTGAAATCAACACAAAGTCAGATGGAGAGCATGAATTCCAATAATGCATCAAAATCTACTGAAGGCACTATTCATGAAAAACCGGGAGATGAAATCAGTTCAAGTGCAGAGATTTGTTTACTCCAGTGTCTCCTGTCTCAAAGTAGAGGGAAGAATCCCCTCCAGTTCCCACTACATACCATGCTATTAAAAATGCTTCTGAAGATATTTTGAAATTAGTTCATGGAATCTCTTGTGATATTCGATTCATTTTAAAAAATTTTGAAGATTCATGTTATCTTACCAATCATTATGGTCTGGACTTACTCGGCACTGATTCGACTGGGAAATACTTTTTCGTGACACTGAAACTTCGATGAAACGAAGTAAATTCTTCATGAAATTTTTTTGAAAACACACATCAGTATTTAGTACCCGCTATAAGTGATTAGTTTTGTTCAAGGCACAGTGTGGTGAATTCCTTACTTTAGCTGGTAAAGCGAATCGTGCACCATGCAAGGGTCCCACTCTATTTCGAGAGGGGGAAGAGATAACACAGATAGAGACTGCCCAGACCTACAAGTATCTTCCAGTGGTAGCATAGTTGAAAATCTACTAATAGAGGGGAGGCGTTAGGACGGACAACATATTGGTGTTAGCCGTAAAGTCATGATTGATACAATTTTTTCTTTCATTTTAACCTTGGATGAATTTTTAACAAAGCAGGAACAATATTACTGATCAAGGTACAACGTGACGTCATTTAATTTCGTCAGTGTTCTGTTTTACAACTGCATACGTTAATAAAACAATTTTTGATATCAACATAAAATAAGTACCTTTTGTTGTAAAAGACTAGACATATCTTTTCTCAGTCTGACTGATGGTAAAAATCTCGTGCTGTTTTATTGACGCTGTGAAATACTCCGCGGTAATTATTTAATTAGATCTGGCTTTCCCGCTGATTCATTGAAGCGAAGTGTTCAGCCTCGGGTTAACATATCGGCTCCTTATGCAGATGCTTCGACAATGTCTGGTTATTTAACTTGAAGTGATTTGGTGGATGGTGAGTAGGAGTGGTGCAATCCAGGATGTGCATTTCGCCCTATTTGGGACTCGTCAATTGGATGTACCTGCATTCCCCAATGAATAAGTGATGGTGTTCTCACTAAGGCTCGAACCCCGCTAGTACCCATAGTTTCAAACTTCAGAGAGTTATCCACTAGACTACTTGGAGCCACAAGGGACCAACATATAAACGTGAGGCCGAGCACTTCAGTTCAATCAATTAACGAGAAAGATAAGTGCAATTAAATAATTACTAATACCTGTTACATAAGCGGTAACCTTCGTGGCTCAGG